AAGTAAATTCCATGCGCTCATATAAGATCTAGGCTTTTTAAGTTGAAAGTTTGAAATAATGCGCTCTCCTGAAAATCGATTTTAGCAATTGGGTCACAGACGTCTTTTGGAAAGACACAAAGTAGTTAGCTGTTTCGAAGTCGGTGGTAAGCAGTTTGTTGTTTAAGTTTATTGATTCTTTCTTGAGTCTTTCCTTGTTTTTTGGAGGTTATCCAGGAATTTTAAAGTGCGTTGGCTATCACTTTGATAGTTGATATTTGTTGGAAAGTGCGTTGGCTATCACTTTGATAGTTGATATTTGAGAGGAAGTTGTCGAAGGCAGTCCGTTTAGCTTGTAAGATGGCTTGCCTTAGGACAGTTGACTGCTGTCTCCAGGTCTGTACGTCTTCCGTTCTTCCAGTCTGATCAGCAGTATTGCCAAGGGCGTCTCGCTTTCTTTTCAGTTCCTCAAGGTGTTCAGACCAAAACAGCTTTCTTTTTAGTTCCTCAAGGTGTTTAGACCAAAACACTATCTTTCCAGTTCCTCAAGGTGTTTAGACCAAAACACTCATTTCAGTTCCTCAAGGTGTTTAGATCAAAACACTCGATAGTGTCTTACCAAGGGGAATAGTTTCCTTTGCATATCTGATCATAATATTCGTGATATCATTGCAAAGTTTGTCAGGATGTTGGTTGAAGTTGAGGGGACTTGTGCGAAGTTCATTGTCTAAAAGGTTTGTGAATCGAGGCCAGTCAGCCTTCTTGAAGTTCCATGATAGCTTAGTTGGCACTTTCGTTGTCATGCTTTTGCTGCCGATGGTAATAATATCAATGGCTGGTTTGTGGCCAGAGACAGGATCGTCAATTATTTTGTGGTACGTATGCTAGCTGATATCGCTTTAAGCCAGGAGCAAGTCAGGAGCTGTTCTGGTTCCATTGTAGTGCAAATATGTAGCAGGATCCTGCTATAAGTTTCAGAGGGTTGCTGTTTAGCATGTCTTCAATTTCCTAGTCCTAGAGGGTTGCTGTTTAGCATGCCTTCGATTTCCTTCCAGCTATGTTTGTATTCTTATGGCCGCTTCTGGTGGAATGGGAGTTGAAGTCTCCGAATAATACAGTTTTTAGTGAGATGTTTAGAAGATCAACGGTGGGACTATTCTGGGGTGGATTATAGACTGCATATATCTTGACGTGGTTTTGATATTTCCAAATATTTAATCTGATTATTTCGCATATGTCTTGCGTCGAGCCCATACTCTTGATCAGATCGTAATGTGATGTGAGGCCTTCTTTTACTCCAGTCAGAATTCTACTTGCAACTTGCCGGCATTTAGGTTGAAGGTATAAGATGTAACCTGGGAATTGGTAGTATTTGAGTTTTTATTCGTAAGACTGGCTTCCATGATTGTGAATATGTCTATATCATAGATATGTAGGATTTTCTGGATTTGGTGACTTCTCTTATGGCTTCGTTTCGAGATAATCATAATAAATTGAAGTCAAATGTCGAGTAATCGACTCTTTTGCCGTATGAATATACGTTACCCAGGGTGCACCACGTGGAGGTAAGTCTATTGCACACCCCTGTTTCTAATATAAATCTTGCAGCAAATGCTCTAGTGCCTCTATTCGACATGACAAGATTTTTAGAAAATTAGCTGTTTTTGACTTCTCGTTCTTGCCCATTAGCAAAAGGTGTTCATCAATAAAATTTCAAGATTTTTTGAAAATTAGAAATGCTTAGACTTCGCTGAATGGCAAAGAGAGTAATATCAACGGTCCTGAAACTCCCTCCATTTCTACAAGAGAGTGGAGGGTACATTGGTGATAAGAGTTAACCTCTGACTGGTTTGATTTTGTTCAGCTTAAAATCTCAAAATTGCTAAAAAGTAATCAGACGTGATTGAGACCTTCGATTTGCTAACATAAATGGTAGGCAACGCGCGTCGATGGTGTGACAAGGTGTAATAGAGCATTTGAATAAGAGTGGCTAGACATTGTGAGCTGGTGCAGAGGGGGTAGGAGATTGGGTATATAAGTTTGCACTCCGGTGTAAAAGAAAACTTTAGTCTCATAGTTGTATGAATGTGGGATGTTATGAATTAGAAATTAGAAATCAATTACACTGTTGAGGTGGCACAGAATTGACTATTCTCATAATATAAGCTCTTTTAACCCAATAAGATGATGTCACAATTAATTCGCTTAACCCGGAAATTCACTTTATTGGCACACCCTCTCTATTCATGCTAACCAGTAATTATTGAACTGATCTCACTTGCCTCTTTATCACAAGAGCAAATACAATTAAACAACTCTTTATTACTAATATTTCATATGGGGTTTAGTGAGGCTTTTAGAATAATGTCTATGTCTTGCGATAATTGCACTTGAAGCAAAAGTATCGACATCCACTTGTGTGCACACGACGTTGCCCACATTACTGAGTCCAGTGCTTGGTTTCTATGGGGGTATTGGGACTATGGGAATGCATTTGAAGTATTTGCAAAATTCACGAGCAACGACACAGCAAGGTGTCTGTTTAAGTGTGCAGAATGTGAGTTTTAAGGGGGGTATTCTGGTCTAGAAAAAAAATATTTTCGAAATTTCTTTTTTTGCATATTTTCATAGTTTAACAATTTAAGAATATGTCTACGGGAGGATTTTCCAAAATTCATATCATTTTCGGAGATATAAGTATTTTGCTGAGCAGACATCCAAATCGGTTGGGCTGCAGCTAATCGAACAAGACATAATGGGTTCTCCGACTACCTGAATCCATATTTCTTAGTAAGCCCTTTTGTTCCGTTATATCTATCTATTTATTTTTTATATACATATATATATATATTTCACGGTAATTGATTTACGGAACAAGAAAACACCAGTTTTACGGGTGCATCAGCAGCAAAATTGAGGAAATCAAATTCTGAAGGAGTAATTATAGATAATAATTACGGCTACTGTGTTTGGAGTTTTTCACAGTCTTTTCAGCAATTTCTTTGTTTATTTCGTGTACTACATACAACAATGAGATTATATTTTCAAGAACGGTTCAACGCGGACTCGGGTTTAAAATTGCATCACAATGCAGTTGCAATAGTCTACGCTACTTTCCATCATGTCCATTCGTTGACAAATCCTTCGAAGTTTATCATCAGAAGAGTTATTGATTCGATGTTTGGGTTCAGAAACTCAAAATAATAATGAGTCTTTAAACTCGCTGATATGGACTTTCGCCCTAAAGCAATCCATTCCGGGTCTCAGATCATTGAAATTGCACATTTATTGCTGTGTGTATTTTTAATGAAGGATTTATATCGATTTTGAAGATAATAACGATTATGGGAGTGGAAATTGGTCCAGAAGCGCATGCATTTGCTATCAGACGAGATAACACTCGGATTGACCGTTCCGAGATACGAGCATCCAGCACATCAAAGGAGGCTAGAATTGCTCGAATAGAAAACAGAAATGCCGAAAATAGTTTTTTTTCGAAGTCGAGGAAGGTCCGATGTATGAAGAGGAATGGGATATTAAATAAATGTAAGTTAGAAATATAATTTTATGACTTAGACTGCAACATATTTTACTTGAAACTTTAAACGCGTTTTTCTCAAAACGGTTTTTTTGAATCTGATACCCACGATTTCTTAGATTCTGCCGAACCGATTTACTTGAAATTTTAAGAGAGTCTTCTTTAGGGACTTGGCTATGTCCGGAACTACGGCCATCCAAAAAATGTAAATTTTTGCTATTTTTAAAAAATTGAAGTATGTTAAAAAATGTGGTATAAAAATGGTTTTTTCTTTAGACAATCGCCATTTTGTAAAAAAATATATCTAAAACTTTTCCGTAGTTCCGGACATAGTGAAATTATTGTAGATTGATAATCTTTTTTTATTTTTTGATTTAAGATTGCTTGGAGAGTTAAAATCGGAGGTATGGTCATGCACCATATTTTTGGGACGCCCCACTCCATCAGCTGATAACTAACGGAATTTTAATTTTTTTTATTTTTTATATGCTTCTAAGGTAAATAAATAATGTATAAAAAATTAATAATAAAAATATTGCTTGTTTTTTTTACAGCACTTCAAAAATGACCTAATATTCATGTCTCAGGACCAAAATACCCCCGTAAGGAAGATTTATGTGAAAAATGTCTAACGAGAACAATTTCAATCTATCGGTGTTGGGTAAATTTTGACTACAGCTGTGCCAAATAGGATAAAGTAATTGCGCATGCGTTTCTGGACGTTGAACGAATCGTCGTGAGGGGGTTGGGAGAGAGGCGATCAATAAGGAAAGATAAATTGATAAGTTATTGTTATTACCACTTTCCTTGTATTTTTGCATCAATTTACTAGATGGACTTCGATATGTCTCCAAGAGTTGGGGTGGTGCTCCCCGGGCAGCGTATATTCATACGGCAAAAAAGTCTATTAACTGGCAGTTGACTTCTCACTTCAAACTACCATGATCCCCCTATATGTCCTACATTCTCATACGGCAAAAAAGTCTATTAACCGGCATTTGACATGACTTCAAACTACAATCACCCCACTGTATGTCAAATTCGACTACTTGACTTCAAACTACCATCATCCCACTCTATGCCATATTCGAGCTTCAAAGACAAAAAAGTCTATTGATCGGCAGTTGACTTCTGACTTGCAAAAAGTCTATTGATCGGCAGTTGACTTCTGACTTCAAACTACCATCACCCCACTCTATATCATATTCGACTATTTTTACAGTACTCACCTCACCTTTGTCCATATTCGACCATTTCACAGTACTCACCTCACCTTTTTTCTTAAATTCGACCACTTCAACAGTACTCATCTTACCTTTTCTCTTCGACTTCTCACTTCAAACTACCATCACCCCACTGTATGTCAAATTCGACCCCTTCCACAGTACTCACCTCACCTTTGCTCTACTGTCGACTTCTTCCACAGTACTAACCTCACCTTTTTTCTACCTATTTCTCACTTCAAACTACCATCACCCCACTGTATGTCATATACCTCTGACTTCAAACTACCATCACCCCACTGTATGTCATATTTCACCACTTCCACAGTACTCACCTCGCCTTTTTTCTACCTTCAGTTGACTCTGACCCCACTGTATGTCATATTCGACTAAGGCAGTTGACTTCTCACTTCAAACTACCATCACCTCACTTATGTCATATTCGACCCCTTTCACAGTAATCATCTTACCTTACTGTGTCATATTCGACTACTTCCACAGTACTCACCTCACCTACAGTTGACTTCTCACTTCAAACTACCATGACCCCACTGTACGGTAGTTGACTTCTGACTTCAAAGACAAAAAAGTCTATTGATCGGCAGTTGACTTCTGACTTGCAAAAAGTCTATTGATCGGCAGTTGACTTCTGACTTCAAACTACCATCACCCCACTCTATTACTTTAACGGTACAAGTCTATTAACTGGCAGTTGACTTCTCACTTCAAACTAACAAGTCTATCAACCGGCAGTTGACTTCTGACTTCAAACTACGTCTATTAACTGGCAGTTGACTTCTCACTTCAAACTACCATGATCCCTTCTCTTCTATGGAAGGGGACCTCAATATGGCTGACGCAGTTTAGCTAGTTCCGAAAACAATGGCATATTGGAAGGGGGGGGGGGAATGCGAAAGCGGTTCATAATAAAAATTTAGGAATTTAAAAATATACGCAGTAATCTCTTGATTGTAAAATTGCAAAGGTGGAATTGGATATTCTGTGGTAAACGTCATCAACTGAGGAAGAATGAAGTCACCCA